AAAAAAATTACACCTTTCAAATCAGTAGAAAGGAGCTGACCACGCCCACTTTAAAGTTTTGTTTTATCTCAACGGCCGCTATACCGCATCTATGCCTCAAAACGAGTCTACGATACGAATGAGTGTAACATACAAAGAGTCAAATGAGTTAGTTGAATGAGCTGACTCCTTAAAGTGAGTTGGAGTCATTGAGTCAACTCCTATAAATTTGCTGAGTTACCCACCCTTAACGGTCACCAACTACTACGCGAATGACGTTAGTCACTCGCTGTATTCGCCTATCGAGTCGCCTCAAAATCAAAACATTTTCCGATGCGCATGAACAGTTCATCCATCATTTTACTAGCGAACAGCTTTATTTTTTAACGACTATTCGATGATAAAATCGATATTGTCTGTTGCTGGCAACCAACTAGCGGCAGTACACTATATACAAATGTGCATACTAGGACTGGGACTATCCGTACATTCAGATATCTGTTCGAAGATTCGTATATACGGATGAAATCTGGATGTTGGGCTAATATCCGTTCATTTGGTTATAAGGATATACGGATATTCTAAATAGTGTTGGAATGGATTCGCTAAATTGCTTTAAAAATTAATACACAAACAATTGTTATTTTATTTGTATTTTTAGTTTCGAAAATCCGAATATTCGGTTAATATCCATTCCTTTTGTTATTCGGATATTCAACTTCTTTAATCAGATATTCGAATATTAGAATATTTGAATTATCTGGATATTCAAAAAATCCTGATACAACTCCCAGTCCTAATACATACATACTCGTACATACTATACATCCTGCATGCTTTCCTACGTTCGGTGTTCTGATTTGTAAACTATAAAAAAAACACTTGAACTTTGACAAGTTTGTTGCAAAAATAGTACTCACCTCATCATAAATAGTTACTCATGCATGTGTATGTATGTATGTATGTAGCAAGTATGTCCATGACAGTAGAGATTTAATTCGGGTACAGCTTTCTATAAGTATATACTCGCTACTTGTTGAAAAAATAAGTTCTCGTTGGGTGCACATGCTATACAATCGCCTAAATAGTATGTACGTATGTAAGTATGCATTTATGTACTATGTCAGATCTACAAGACAACTAAATAAATAAACACCCAAACATTTTTTAATGTTTAATTTAACATTACGAAAAAATTATTACATATTTTACTGGAGATTTATAAAAAAATATTAATTTCTTTCAGTTAAAGTACAAATTGTATATACATAAATACATACTGATGTATTTACCACCGCATGTAACATGATAAAGCACCCAGCAGTTGCTCGTTTACAATGAACCGCAATACGTACGTACATACTCCAACAGGTGGTTTTATCTACATATAGTACATTTTGATCAATTTTGACTATTTTTCTTTTGTTTCTTTACTGTTTATTCTTTTTATTATAAAAATACAGCTCATTATCTAACAAAAACCATATAAGTTCAAATTTTAAACTGTGAAAAATTTAGAAAAATTCTGCGAAATTTTACAACAACAAAAATTTACATATCCACAAACTTTTTATTCAGAACTCATTAAATTCTCGCTCAAGAAGTTGCAAGTTTCAAGCGGCTAAGAGTTCGCGTTAATTTTTGATTTTTTTCACGAATGGTGTTATTATTTTCTTCCATACAAAAAACACTTGTCAAACATACTTTGTATAGAAATGCGTGAAACCGTCAGCAAAAAAATTGTCAAACCTTAACGCGATTTCTTATGCCGATTTCGTTTCTACCGAAAAATGCAACCTTCCTTTTGCCCTCTATGCACAAACACTAAGAGGCGATGAGAAGGCAACATTTTTTGTAGAAACGCAATCGCCATTAGCCACTTGAAATTTGTACTTTATTGAGTTAGAATTAATGGACTATAATATTAGAATTTTTCTAAACAGTTTTTTGTGGTTGTAACATTTTGTTGAAATTTTCTACAAATTATATGGTTTTCATTAGATAATGAGCTGTAAGTATTAAAATTAAAAATTATAAACCTTAAACAAATAAAAGAAAAATATCCACAACTTGTCAAATTGTTGTGTCCTTATTATTTTTGACATGACTATATGTACACATTTATAGTATGTGTGGAACTTAATGTGGTTTTCCATTCCTTGGTCTATTGCAAAATTATCCCTATATTTTCGAGGATGTTTGTCTCTTTAGAGTATCCAAAAGATCTACTCTGCACTGGTAACAAATTCGTTAACAAAGATAAGTCAAAGTATGTACCGCCTGGCAACATACAAATTGATTTCGCGTATTATATAGTGAAGCATACTGTTGTAAAGGCGCTGTTCTGGGTCTGACTCTTGCGACCTCGTTCGCGCACTCTGGGCACCGTGGGTAACCCATGTGCGAGATGCGGTAACCAATCGGAATGGAGCCTTAGCTCACAGGAGAAAAAGAGGGAGCTTCGGTGAGGCCACTGCGACTTATTCGGTTTAAGGGCTCATTGAAGTATCCTGCGTCTGTTCACCAGTAGGTGCGGCTGCAAGGGAGCGTCTGTCTTCTTGGAGCAATGGGTTGAGCGCTGGGCTTGGGATGACGACTACGGCAAAAGTTTAAAGGGCTACTATTTAAGGGAATTCACCTGGAATGTCCAGACCCTTAATGGGGAAGGTGCCTCTGCCCGGCTGGTTGATGTCCTGTAAGGACGAAAACTTGTATCACTGTCATCCACGAAATAGACGGGGCAAGGCAAGATATACGTCGGGCCTTGCGACGTAAAGGACAGAAAATTCGGTGTTGGAATTGTGCTGGGAGAAAGACTCCGTCGCCGAGCATTGTCTTTTGATTCCATCCACATAAAAGCGAGGTTTTTCATCATCTTGCTCATTTGCGCCCACGCTCCGACGGAAATGAAGGACGAAGCATCCAAGGATTTATTTTATGAGCGCTTGGATAACACAGACGAGCGCTGCCGCGTCACCATATAAAAATCGTGCTTGGCGATTTCAATGCCAGGGTGATCAAGGAAGGGATCATTGGAACCACGGTCGGAAAATTCAGCCTCCACGATGAAACGTGCGATAACATACTGAGGCTGATCGACTTCACCGGGCCCGAAATATGGTAGTATGCAGTACTTGGTTCAAGCATAAAAAGATCCATCAAGCTACGTGGCTGTCTCCAGATCAAAAACGAGAAATCAAATCGATCAAGTTGTGATAGAGGGAAGGCATGCTAGCAGTGTTTTAGACGTACGTACACTCCGAAGTCCTAATATCAACTTGGACAACTATGATGTTGCAGCCAAGATACGCTAAAACTGTTCGTCCAACAATGCAAGGAAAGCTTAACCTCGAAAAGCTGCAGTCGCAACGCAATGTATTCGCCAACCGACTTTCACACCTGCTCTCAGAGAGCACTCTTCAATAAACCGACATATGGGAGCTTTGGAACCACATTATCCACTTATTACATACCGAAGAAGTAATCGGATTTCAACGAGCCCGAAAGAACAGCTGATGTGATGAGGAATTCCACAAAGCTGCAGATAAAAAAAATATCTCCTACAGGGCAACGCTGTCATAGGCTTCAACGCGAAAAATGTGAGATCGGTATTGGGAGCTGAAGACTAAAGCGAGACGTATACGCCGCAATAAGGAGAGGGGCCGAAATACGTGAGTGCGAAGAGCTTTTTTATCTTATAATTTTACCAGAGAGTTAGGCGACTTACGGAAGGCTCCAAGACCGGGGCGAAGTCCTGTAAGAACAACCATGACGACCTAGTAACCGATGTCCAGAACGCATGGAGGAAACACGCTGAATAGTAGCAGCACCGAAAGTTGTGGAGAAGACTAGCCCGAGCCCGAGCCCCCAGTCGATGACGATGGAGTCGATGCCCGACGACTGAAATTGAAGTGTTATCTGCCCAATCCACAGTAATTCAAGGCCTTTTGGAGGAGTTCTAGTAAAGTACATATCTTCGTTAATTCATAAGGAACATACTTTTTGAAGACATTTATTTTAGGTTTATATGTATCAAATATTTTTTATCCCTACTTTAATGCACATTTATGGGTCGATTACGGATGGAAACCGAACTTCAGTTGCGTTGGCAGTGGCCGGAATTATATTGCAGAAGCCAACTGACGACTGAAAGTGGCAACTGAGTTGCTATATTGGCAACTGCATTTTTGTGGTTGCCGCGGAAATTTTGGTTGTGATAATTTATTTATTTTTTCAACTGTTTCCACGAGTTATCTACACTCAAATCTTGGTTGGCGTTGCCCTTCGGCAACCTAATTGAGGCTTTGTTTTTTTGCAATGATGCTGTTCCTGCAGTGGAAATCTGACAATCGCCACGCTAAATTTCCATCGTAAAAATTCTCTAAATGAAAATAGGTGGGGCCTAAAAGCACGCAACATAAAAGTAATAGATGCAATGTGTAATAAACCAAAGCTGGTAGTATGAAGGGCAGGTTACTAGGTGTTGCATGTTGTTAGGCGCGCCTGCTATTGTTTTGGAGATTTTTAGCGATCAAAATTGCCGATAGCGAATGCTGGATAACGGCTGCTGAACTAAAAAGTAAAATTTGGGCAATTTTTAAGTTCCTAAAAGCGTGAATCAAAAAAGGATGCAGCCTGGTGTAAGCAAATTGTTCATAGGTATCATCGAAATTTTAGGCTGATTTTTCAGCATACAAATACAATCCGGTAGGAGATATTAAATACGCTGTATCGTTGAGGGAAGGCTGCCAGATATTTCTTTATTCTTGTTTGATTTTAAATCCTTACTTGGTTTTAGCTTGTATTCCATATATGTATGTTGTATTCCTCGTGAACAGATATTTTGAATGCGTACACATATACCTACATACATCAATTTATTTAAAGTTGACAGTTATCAAAAAAACTAGACTGAAACAATACGATATTATTAATACAAAACATTTCAGGCTAACTTATCCGATTAGCTATTTAATCATATAATCAGATAATATAAACCAATTTTTACTTTACAACTTTCATTTTCCACAGACCATCATTAAGGTAATGGCAGTTTTCCACTCCTACTCCCTTATTGACTTTTGAGCTGAAAAAATACCAGGCATTAATAAGAACAAAATACAAGGAGCTCTAAATTACATATCCTCTGTAGACAAAGTAGTAATGCCAATAGCAATTGCGTGCTCTTTACCCTCCGCCATTATAGCTACAACAGTTCCTTTATCGGCAGGCGTCATCTGTGCGCCAGGTGACGTGAGGCCAGGACACATTATATTCGCACCACTCAATACGAATCTTATTGCACCCTTATCTACTTGTTGCATAGTCACAAAGTATGGAAACTTGTGTAATAGTCGTAAAGTAGGCATCCATTGACTTTCACGGTGGCGGAAGAACGCTATTTCACCGTTCCCCGTAACTAAGAGCTCTATATGATCGTGGCTATAATATTTACAGCTAGAACTACACAATTCATTTTTATATCAATAATTTTTAATTACCATTTGGCGATGCGGTATGAATCCTTTTTCGGGAGTATTAAATCAATGTGTGTTTCCAGAAATGGATACGTTTCCAACAGTCTCGCACGGATGCCTTTCTGCACAGACGACTTCAGCTGCTGTAGAGAGGAAACGCTTTCCTTTTCTTCAAACCTATAATGCCGA